GCTCCAATACAGACATTGTAATACAGACCCTCTAATAAAGATGCTCCAGTACAGACGCTCCAGTACAGACACTGTAATACAGACCCTCTAATAAAGATGCTCCAGTAGAGACGCTCCAGTACAGACACTGTAATACAGACCCTCTAANTACAGACACTGTAATACAGACCCTCTAATAAAGATGCTCCAGTAGAGACGCTCCAGTACAGATGCTCTAATACAGACACTCTAATGCAGAATCTCTAATAATGACACGCTAATGCACACACTCCAGTACAGATGCTCTAATACAGATACTCCAATACAGATGCCCCAATAAAGACGCCCTAATACAGACATTCCAATACAGACGCCCTAATACAGATGCTCCAATACAGACGCTCCCATACAGACAGTCTAATGAGCCGCCATCTTCTCGGAGCCTCTCTCCTGCACCCCTGGCCTGGGAGGGGACCCAAACAGAGAGGGCAGTACAGAAACACAGTAGGGTGGGACAAAGCGCTTTCTATTACCCGGCTGGGTGAGATAACCCCTCATCCGGCACACGGCCGTGAGCTGGGGGGGGCTCCCTCGTAGCACCAGCCAGGGCCTGAGGACCAATTAAAAACAGACTCCCTGCCTTTGATACACAAAAAGCTCTTTTCACAGTACCGGAGGCTGAAACACTGCCCCCCAGTGCTGTGTTCCAGTGGTCACGGGCGCGCGATGCCCTCACTGGCCTTGCGCTCCTGCAAAAACAAGGCAAGCTGTCAGTGAGACCCGTCAGGATGTCGAGCTGCTGTATAAATAAACACTCGATATGGGGCAGCGCCAAAGCTAACATTCACCTGCCAAGCCTCTGGGCCTCCAGTGTAAGCCTGTTATTTACCATAAGACGGCTCTGAAAGGCTGGAACTCTAGGCTCTCTGTCGCCCCCTGTGCTCATGGTTAAACCACAAGGACCTGCCCATACCCGAGTGGTTTAATCATGAGCCGAAGCCTAACCACGCCCCTCCCCCAGGCCCTACAACACACCTCTGACATGGAAAGGGGAGCGGCAGAGCCCAGGCCGAGGGGACTGAGGGGAACTTCTATACCTCACCTTAAACCAGGGAGGCTCAGCTGCTGCTAAAAGAGTCAGTACTGCCCTAAAGGAGTCAGTACTGCCCTACCAGAGTCAGTACTGAAAGCACTCAGTAATTATGTTGATAGATGAAGTCCAGAGGATCGAGGAACCTGTCATGTCCTCCTCTTCTCCAAAAAATGACATGCCTGTTTTCCCTTTTTGCGTACCCCATCTAGCTCTCCATGATACACAGACACACATATAGGTGAGAGTCAACTTGGCAGCGCAGGGCAGCCTCCTGTAGCGATGCCCATGGAATGGCAGAGTTTAGGGCTGAGATCGAGAGCCCACAGACCACAGGGCCACAGGCTATTCTGCAGAGGTCAGGCTAAAACCAGTGACCTTCTGGTTACAGCGACAGGGGCTTAGCCCACTCATACATACATCTAGCATGTAAGTATAAATGTTTACACCAACATACGTACACATATGTGTACGCTAGCATACATACATAAAGAATACAGTATTGTGCAAATGTCTTAGGCAGTCAAAGCTATTTATCTGGCCAGTAAGTGCACCTTTGCTCAGAACAAAAAAGACAATTTAACATTAGAACATTTGCAAATTAAGGGTAACAATAAAAACTATAATAAAGACTTTTTTCTGTTCTCCAGAGTTACTGATACCTAAGCTAGATGGACACCAATGTCAGCGATATCCTGCTGGACGGCTAGATGGACATCTCTATTGACTAGTTACTGCATGCAAGCTGTGCTAGTGGTCGAGTCAAAATATACACACATACGTCCATATTCTGTATATATGCTGCTTCCCTGTAAAGCAAATAAATCCCACTTCAAGAGTACAAAGTTAAAAACAGCACAGTTTGCCTTACTTTAAAATTGCAAAATGTGCACCACCAGATGGCGCTGGTGATCCACACCTTTATTAAAACGCATCAATCGGCAACCGCAAACTCTGGATTTTGTTATGTGAAAAACGATACATGAAACAATTAAGTCTTGCTGTTAATTTCCAGTGAGTAATAGCTGGTTATTAATTGCTCACCATTACTCCAGTCTTGATCATTGGTTCAGCCCAGATGCACTAATGAACCAGGATACTCAGACAAATATCCGTCTTTAAATAACTATGTGCTGAAATCAGTAACTGGCTGCATGTGCTACGTTCAGTGTGCTGGGTGACTTTTGATATCTGCAGGACATAAACACAGATAGGCAGACCCGCACAGGGGAACTCCAGGCTCTGAAAATGAGCTGCTAATTAAAGTTCAGGTGTTACTCGAACACCGAGGGCATCCAGCTGCCTCAAAGTCCATTAATTACCCAGCCAGTTAGCGGAAAGTCGAAAGCCAGCCCTCTGCTTCTCAGCCAGGCCTGTGCAGAGGGGGGCACGAGCAAATCTGCACTTCATATGAAATGAAATCATAAAAAAATCGCCAGAGTTTCTGGGTTGCAGGTTTGAATCTTCCCAAGCTCTGTACCAGAGGAGTGTATACAATTCCCAGAGGTGCTGATTGAGCCTCTCTGGATCACTGTGAGAAGACAGTAGAGTAAGCAGATCCAGAAGCCACTGTGGGGTACTGTCAGGACCCAGCCACAGACCTCACACTTGGATCCTGCGGGTTTCAGCTCCCGGTCACTTACTGTATGCACACAAGATCCAGCGTCCAGCTATCAAAGATGGACAAACGCTATCAGGTTGTTGAAGAAATGTTTATTTTATCAACAGGGTACATGCCAAAAAAGAATCGTTTACAGCAGTTTTACAATTTCTTTTTTTTTTTTGTCCGGTTGCAAAGATTATCTGAAAATGTGATGAAGGGGGAAGTGGAGACCACCTGGTGGATGGAGGCCATGTTTACCGGGGCAGCACCTGATGAATAGAGGCCATGCTTATCAGGACGCCACCTGGTGGATGGAGGCCATGCTTATCAGGACGCCACCTGGTAGATGGAGGTCATGTTTATCAGGACGCCACCTGGTGGATGGAGGCCATGTTTATCAGGACTCCACCTGGTGGATGGAGGCCATGTTTATCAGGACTCCACCTGGTGGATGGAGGCCATGTTGATCAGGACTCCATCTGGTAGATGGAGGTCATGTTTATCAGGACGCCACCTGATAGATGGAGGTCATGTTTATCAGGACGCCACCTGGTGGATGGAGGTCATGTTTATCAGGACGCCACCTGGTGGATGTTATACTGAGCTGTGTCTTCCACATGAGAGAGCATGTCTATTACTGAATGAAAAATGTCATACAAAATATTGGAGTGCAGTACAAGGCTATGCTGGTTCCTCAGACTGTTCCTTGGATTTTGTAAAAAATATAATTATATATCTATATTTATTTATATATGTACATCTCTGAGACAGTCAAATGATCACATTGGGTAGATCATCATACTCTATGTTATTATACACTAAGGATATATGGATTCTCATATGCTTCTTCACATTTGACTTTCCTGTGTTTTGGACCCTGATGATAATTCTTCAGCTATTTTTAAAAGGAAAAAGTCATTTAATAAACACCCAGCTTTCTCTATCTCTTGCCCAAAGAGGTCATAGATAAATAAACTCTATTAATATCTGCTGCTGTTTGGGGTTTACAGCAGCGAACTGGCAGACATGGAGAAAAACCAAAACATTCGATTCATGACGGAGTGAAGGGAGGAGAGCTCCCCTCTGCCTTTGTCTGTGGAGATGGTGAGCTGTAAAGCGCCGTATCAATGAACGGACAGATGATAAGCTGGGGCGCCGCCCACCCACTGCAGGCCATAACTAATAAAGAGCTCAGAGCTCAGGAGCAGCATCAGCACCAGGCTGGGTGTGCAGGAGGCATCGCTGGAGGACATGAGATGCTGAGTCCTGCTTTGGGCTACCTACCCAGAGGTATACTGGACTACACCTCTCACTGCAATTTCTTTGTATGGATTCAATTGTGGGGGTCAGACTCAGAGGAAAATCACTGTTAGACTTGTTATAAATAATCATAAAAGGTAAAACCCAACGTCGCTTCAACAGTTTGCACTCTGTGGGCTGTCAGATGTCTGCATATAATCTATGTCTCAGCTAGCTGCTTGACTGGAGAACCCAACATCTGTCTGCGTCTGTGCATGTTTGTCTCCTCAGTTACACCAACTGGCCCGTGACGGGTTACAATTGCAGTTTTGAGAGTTACTATTCCAGAGGGGACAGTCTCCAGCCTCACTGACTATGTTAGCGGATGGGTGGATGGATGGAGGGATGGATGGATGGATATTCAAGAAGGTGTCATTTAGAAGAACAGTCCTGATATAAGAACGGCACACAATGGTGTCCGGTGCATTAGGGTACACATGCTGCAGATTTTCCCATTAAATATATATATATATATATTATATAGGTTGTTGTGAGGGACAAGTTTGATAAACACACCAGGAGTGATGCGATCACACACACGGGGCTTCGTAGCAGTAGTTCAACAAAAAACATGGGAAAGTAAACAATAATACAGAAACGAAACTGTCAGATATACTTTAGTTACTCTGTAAATAAAAAAGTACATAAAATATTCCTTTTGAATCACATTTAAATAGATGTATGATCCGGAAGCTTCCGTCGCCAACATAGATCACTGGGCTTGCATGTCTATTGCTTTAAGAGGAGTCATATCTCAGCCAATGTATGCTGGAGGAAGAAGAATTTACCATAAATCCATAAATAATCATGATATCAGGTTATCCTAATATATTATTGGTCAGAACGTACCACTTAAGAAGTCCGTTCAGTTCTATATACAGTGGTTAGATTCAGGATTCTGAATTTACAAGCAGATTCCTTGGAAGAGGCGGCTTTCCATGGATTCAGAGTAGTGGGATTCAGAAGCATCCAGAATTCAGGAGAATAGGAACTTCCGCCAGAACTGTCCAAAGCTGTCCCACATCCCATGGTAGCTGTCAGACTGACCCTGTCATCCCGCTCAAGCCCAGTGGTGGCCTCCAGCTAATGGGAGTCAGTTGAAAGATCTACAAATAGCTATGAATGAAAAAACTAAATTAAACACGGACGAGTCTTTAGGCAGCCTGCCTGTCCACCTGTTTACAGGAAGTCCAGGCGTAGCGGCGGCTTCCATTGTTCTGAGCGTACAGTGAGTACAGTGAGTACAGTGAGTCTCGACGGCTACAGTGGCAGTAAGCAGGGGGCCGGTCTTCCCCATCACGCCACTGTAAGCGTCTCGTGCAGCACAGCTGCACGTCGCATTTCCGTCACGTTCAGCGACATTCCCTGGTGGTCCTCAGACGCTCCGCGGCGCCCTCTCCAGCTCATGCGTCCTCCTGTTGCGACCCTTCTTATTCTCCTGCAGGTGCTTCCACTTGCTGCCATGAGGAGGCGCACTCTGGACCTTCTGCCGGCGCTGCTTGCGCCCTCGTCGCCACACCTGCTCGCATAGCTCCTCCACGTTGCTCAGGTTGGGGTGGTTGATCAGAGACATGAAGTCCCGATACCACACCTTCTGGCTGGCCAGCTGGCCGGGCCCATCTCTGGGCTTTGAGCCATCGCCGTCCCTGTGGAGCAGATCGTCCAGCCCGTCCATGTCAATGACCTCCATAGAGACCCTCAGCAGGGTCTGGATGAAGCCGTGCTCCATGGCGTGGCAGTAGTACACCCCCGAGTCCTTCTTCTGCAGTCCGCGGATGAGCAGGCCCTGCTCCATGTGAATGAAGCGCTCTTCTGACTTTATCTGCAACACAAAGCGAAGGAGCTCAAGCCTGGATGCGATTCTGTGACTGTCGGCTGAAGATTTACTTAAGGTCTGCTGATCCAACACAGACATTTTATAGAGCACATTGACTCTAGGGCTGCCAAGTATCCTCAGCGATGACGGAGGCGAGGGGCTTACATAAGCCTGGCGTGTCAAGGAGGAACCAAAGATTAACAACACTGACATCAGCCACATTCTCCACAGCCGTCGGAGCTCAGATCTTCATATTCCCGCCTCAGATTCTTGCAGCTAGAGGGTGCTCAGTGACCCCTTCATGTACCCTTTGGGTTTCTCGTAGTATCTTCTCGAGCCCTTGGTACAGTAGTTTCCAAACATCCCCTCTCAGGAACATACCTCATGTTTGCGTTCCTCATTGTGCTTCTGGACCTGCCAGTAGATGGCAGCGCGCTGCGATTTGGGGCTGCATTCCAAGAAGGTGGTGCTGTTCTCCACCCCATACAAAACCTTGTTCTCTGACGAGGAGCCTGGGCTGTAAAGATCATCTGCGAGAAGAGAAAACGGGACCATGAAAGGTCCGGCCAAGCACCTAGTCCTACAGAGACCCGCTCACAGACACCTCAAGGGTCACGTTTGACCTCCGTCGTCACTGATATCACAGGCTGGACGTGTATGAATCAGCCTGTTGCTGTTCAAATAAAATCAGACTCAAATGGATCTGAGTGGCACAGGAATCCATAGCTGGCCTCACTAACGCGATGATGCCCGTTTGCACATCATTTCGCTGCCGCCGTCTCTCTGTCCCTCTCTGACCTCATGGAGGCAGTCAGGCAGTTGCCTTCGGACCCCAGCTGAAATCATTCATGCACACGCCCGTATTCTTAGCATGATGATATGCAGGACAACTTTCTGAGCAAAGTTGCCGGGCACTTTCCCCTTGATACTGTACTGTATAATTGACCGGCACAGGATGGGGGGGGGACTCCCTTTTGGTGAGGGATCGATGTGCAGCCCGGCTAGGTGATACCCCCACCGCAGCTGAAAGACCTTTCAGTGTGGTAAGGCCGTAGCTCTGAGATACGGGCCATGCTGCACCAATAAGCAGACTGCTAGCTTTCAGAGTGTGATGCCGGGCTGTTATAAGATCCGTGACTGGCCGGTCCTCACCGTTGTGCTGCAGGTCCGAGCACTGTGTCAGGGGATCCCCGTTCCTGATGTCCTGGCGTCTCGTTCGTCTGGGAAACACAGACAGGCGGGATTATGGGTGGGAGAGAACAGGTGGTGAGAGAAATACAGAGGTGAGTCTGAAGTCCACCCAGTCGCTGCCTGCCCCCCCCCCCACGCTGAAGAAGACAATGTGAGGCTAAAATCAATAAAAGCAAGGAAGAGATGGCGAGGAGGGGGAAGTTGCACACATCTCCTCCATGCTGCGGGGGCGGAACCACAAAGCTCACCGCGGACAAACATACGAGTTTCTCTGTAGGATGCCGGTGTGGGCGACCTTCCCTGGGACCGGCCCGCAGGCCCGCTGCCTAAAAAGGTCCACGCAGGGAGCCATCGGCCTTCCCCGGGACCGGCCTGCAGGCCCGCAGACCCGCTGCCTAAAAAGGCCCACGCAGGGAGCCATCGGCCTTCCCCGGGACCGGCCTGCAGGCCCGCAGACCCGCTGCCTAAAAAGGCCCACGCAGGGAGCCATCGGCCTTCCCCGGGACCGGCCTGCAGGCCCGCAGACCCGCTGCCTAAAAAGGCCCACGCAGGGAGCCATCGGCCACTCGCAAACCTGTATAACTGCTTCGCGACTAAACTGCAGCTGCAGGTTTCCTGACTTTTGTGACAGTTGTAGCAAAATGGAGGAAAGATATTTGTAGATCTTGAAGATGGACAGTGATGCACTTACTGCAGATATATTTGACATATTTATTGTATAGCATATGACACTTGACCTAGCTTACTAGAAATGCACTTTTAACACCAATATACATTTTAAAAGTATTTGATATGAAAAGTGGGCGGAGCTGGAGGGACCTGAGCCAAGAAAGACAACAAGCAGTGCAGGATTGGATGTTCGGTCGATGATTTTAGCCAATAGCGGCGTCTCCCTGCACACTTGGGGAATCTGGACTCATAACCCCCCCCACCCCGTGTGGCTTTGTGATGGCCATGCGTGTGCCAGTCGTGTGGGGGACCAGGCCCCGCCTACCTCTTGGCGGTGGGGAAATAGCGGGAGCATTCAGTGCCGTCCCAGGCGCAGTAGGGGTCGCGGGCCAGGCAGCACTCGGCGCATGCCTTGCCATACACCCCGCAGCGGTGCAGGGGCATCTGCGAGACCCCGATGGACGAGCCAATGTAGAGCTGTTGCTGGAGGGAAACATGTCATGCGATCGCCATTATTCATCCAGGAAAGCTACAGAGGATGTGAAACATATCTGAATAAAGAACACGTTTATTTAATTTTTAGCGTAGTGACTATCTGTGGCCAACAGGGGGCCCTAGACCTCCGGGGTCCCAAGCAAGCATGTCCTTAGGGTGGTGGAGAACCGCCCCCCCCCCGCAGGAGACCATGACTCCCTCCCCTGTGGCTCTGCAGGAACGGCACAGCTCTGGGGGTGCAGTTCTGTAAAATGGCCCATCTCCAAACTGTAACTGCGCACACGTGGCAGCAGTCGGGGGAATTCTGCACCCCTAAGCAGCTGCTTCCAAGCCTGACCGGTTCTGGGAGGTTCTGCTGGGCGGGGTGCAGTTTCCTTGCAGGCTTGACTCATTCGGTGACATTACGGAGTATCGTTCGCAGTGTGGATCTGAACCCAGTGATGGTCCACAGCCAGGAAACGTGATCAAGCCTCCCGTGTCCCTCATACAGCACATGTGAGGCTGTCTGGAGCTGCTTCTCCATTCATCAAACCAGCATCAAGTGGAGGGACGGTGCCAGAATGGCCCCTGGGGGCCACAAGGCGGCCAGCATCCCACTGAGTGACTCCTTATTCCTGAAACCCATGTATTACATTAGAGATGGTGAAGAGGAGCCTCACCTGCTTGGTGGAAATATCCATGGCTGTGATGGGCGTCGGTTCCTGAAGAAGAGACCAAGGGAAGAGCTTTAAAACCTCTACGTATGGAGCTGTGAGCCGAATGACACTGATCAGTCTGCACGGGTCCCTATTGGGGGTGGGGGGGTGGTTCTCCTGAACAAATGCAACTGATGACCATGCAAAATCTCCCATAGAGGACCCCCTCCCCTGCTCCCATAGTGAAAATTTACTGGGCTCCCATAACTCCAACTTCACCCCCTGGGCAGCAAAATGTGCTGATCAGCCACAAACCCCCCATCCCCCCCCCAAATGTCTGTGCACCTCACTGAGTCTGTGTGTCCCTTTTGTGATACTGTCACAGGAAAAACAAACAAAACTAACAGTCACTGCACAAATCCCATCAGGATTAGGACATTCCCTCACCAGGAAATACAATCACCTCAGGCTGGAAAATGAGCTTTAACACCAGCTTTCTAAACAGCCTCACGGTGTACGTCGTGCTGAGGACGCATAAGACAACACATGGCATGTGAGGCGAGCACGTTTTCCTCGACAAACTCACCACAAACACAGTCATCTCTTCCAGGAGCACCTCTTCCAGGTCATGCCAGCTCTCTCTGGGAATGGACACCACCTTCAGCACGGTCCCAATATCTTACAAAAGAAAAAAATACAGCCCATGGAGCCGGGGACTCTCAAAGCATCGTAGCTCCATTCCAGCTTCATAACTTGGTGGTGATCGGTATGGCTGTTACATGCTAGCTTCATAACTTGGTGGTGATCGGTATGGCTGTTACATGCTAGCTTCATAACTTGGTGGTGATTGGTATGGCTGTTACATGCTAGCTTCATAACTTGGTGGTGATCGGTATGGCTGTTACATGCTAGCTTCATAACTTGGTGGTGATCGGTATGGCTGTTACATGCTAGCTTCATAATTAGCTAGCTACGATCTTCAGAGCACACAGAACCCCACAGATCGTCCACCAACAGAGGCGCTTAGGCACCTGTCCCGATGAACATGACGTCGTACTGGCCATCCTCGGCGTCCACCCTGTCCACCACTATCTGGGAGAACTGGTAGTCCACATCGGTCTTGACAATGATGGGCCGGTTGTTGATGGGATGGACAGCATTGAACATGGCAGGGTGACCTCGCGCGAAGGTGATGACATCATCAGGCAGGTCCTTGGTGGAGTCGAAGCCGCCAAAGGTCTGACTTGGGCACTACAAAGCACCAGGGGACACCAAGAGCAGAACCATCTGACACAGCAGACGTACACAAACACTGAGAACATTTATGCTGAGAAATGAAAGTAATCCATTCATCAAACATCCATCTTCAGTGACAGCCTATTAATCATAGTCGCAGCGGCTCATAAACCAATCAGCCATTTTCTATTTAGTATAGTGGATATTTTTTCAAGAAAAAAAAGTGGCTACATAGCAAAACCTACAAATGACCAACAAAGTCCCTGAGAAATGCCCTTAGAGAGGAAGCAGATCGACTGTTGGAAATTAATATATACACTATGCTGCAAACTCATCAGCAGGAATCGGCAGGGGAGGGTACGCAGCGATGCCGTACCGTTCCAGGACGTGGGTAGGGCACCCTCCCCAGGAAGGGCACCCACTGGTAGTTGGGTCCATCCCGGTGTGCGTAGGGGCCGAGGAAGACCCTCCGCATGTCGGCCATGTTGTACATACAAACTGCCGAACCCTTGAAGATGTTACTGGAAAAAGACACAAGCTAATTGTGAGATGGTAATTACAACTGCAGATGGTTAATCACTCCATCTGTTCAGTTAGGGTTCTGTCGTGATTATAATAACCTGAGAGATGAGTGCAGTCGCGTTTATGCAAATCTTAAATCATATTATGCAAAGCAGAGATCCTTAGCATCATTGTGTGACTGTACACCATACTACTAAAAGAACAACTTTGGGCTGACGTTTAGGCTCCGTAGCAGCAGGTTTCTGCTGGACTTGTACAGAATTTGTATCGTGAAAAACAGACATCAGGACTGACAGATAACATTTCTCCGATTCTTCTGTCCACATATTGACATACATGCAAAGACGTACCTGGATGTCGTAAACACTCCATAAATCACCGGATTCTTCGGGTCTTTACCACTCATCAGAAAGACATCCTCTAAAACAATACAAGGCATCGTCAGCCAAAATAAACAACGGAACGTACAGATCCACATCGGAATGCATTATGAAACGTAAGATGCACTCACGTAGCTCGTCGAAGTGCGTGTCGATGCCGTTTAGTCCCGGTACCGAGCAAATTAAGCGGGCCTTCAGGAAGGTGGTCCATTTATTGACCAGGCTTCTGTTCCCTCCAAAATCATTCTGTCAACCAGAATGAAAGACATGAGTGAGCGAAAACGCCGTGTGAGGTCTACTGAGCAGCTGTGTTTGTTTGACCGTACAGAGGGAAGAATCAATGGAGGTTACAGGTGTCTTGACAACAGAAGAAAGCTGAAAGATTAATTACAGGATCGAGCATCGCGGAGGAGAGACGCGGAGCTCGGCGTGATGACACATGACGAGGAGGCCGTCAGTCATCGGCCCGCCCTCACGCTCTGTGCGATTCCATGATGGATTCATTGTGAGCATGTCATTAGTGTCTGTTTGTCTTTGGAGGGGCTTACATGAACAATAACAGGCCTGATTCACACGAGCTGAAATAAAATCCCTGCCCAAAGCGAAATCTCACGACAAATGAACAAATAACAGACTTCTCCAATTGGGGGGGATTTTTCACATTCTGAAAGGTGACAGTGACTAATTGGGAATGTGTTTCTCTCAAGTCGAAGCTGCAGAAATGTGGCAGAATGGACCCGGGGCCCTTCAGACGGCATCCGCAGCATTTTAATAACAGACGTGGGACTTCATGATGACAGTGAAATTAGGACTTAGGCCAACAGCCCAATGACCTGGCTTTGCTAGGCGGGGGCCAGGTCCCATCGCAGAGTGTCAAGTAGGGTGGAGGGCTCATTGCAGACCCCCTTAATAAGCCCCTCCAGAGCGAGAGTACACTGAGCACACAGAACCCCAGAGATACTCCACCAAGTGAGAGTACACAGAGCACACAGAACCCCAGAGATACTCCACCGAGTGAGAGTACTTAGAGCACACGGAACCCCACAGATACTCCACTGAGTGAGAGTACTTAGAGCACACGGAACCCCAGAGATACTCCACCGAGTGAGAGTACTCAGAGCACACAGAACCCCACAGATACTCCACCGAGTGAGAGTACTCAGAGCACACGGAACTCCACAGATACTCCACCGAGTACTCCACAGCTGTCGGATAAAGCACAGCTGAGCTGATAGGTGAGCAGTCCCCCTCGCTTGCTGTCTCGCTCACATGCTGGCCTTCCCTTACCTTCTTCTCACAGTCCAGCACTGGTTTCAGAACAGTGCCAACAATCTGACCCTGCATTTGCCTGGCGGCCCCCTCCTGGCCACAAACAGCCACTGCACTAAATAGTAAATAGATGTGTTCGTTATTCAGGAGGTGCTGAATAACCAGCCAGCTGCCGACCACCTTCTGACTGGACTCGCTTGCTGACGGTAATGCCTGTCTACCGCGGTCACGTGACGCAGGCTGGTACCTTGCAGAGCTGTGCCACGCGGGCGTGCGTGGCCCTGCCTGTGTGCTCCCCGTCCATGGCGCTCTCACGGAAGAACAGGTAGATCTTGTCATCTTCCGGGTTGTCGCTCTCGGGGATTAGGTGTGCCCCCACAAACCGGGGCTCTGGAGGGGGGACATCAACAAAATGAGGCTTTTTCTCAGATAAAGCGGAGAGTGACCTTAAGCAGTATGGTCTCTCTGTCTGCGTAGAGCCATGCTTACACACTCAGGTAGCTACACACGTGAGTAAAACCAAGAGTGCCAGCTGACCCGTAACACGAAACAGCCCTGATGAGGTCGAATGAAATTGAATGCACATGTGAGCTAAGGATTTTTTTATTGTAATTCATACATAACAACAGTCAGCAATGCATTGTGGGACCACAGGGGACAGATATTCGTGAATCTGAAACTTAAGACAAGGAAACAGGAAAGTCCATTGGAAGTAGCTCACTTTAAAACAAGTTAAGCCTGGAATGAGCATGGGGTTTATGAATTGGGATTCATTTTGGGATGGACGTACAGCCACCGCTTTTACTGGACTGGGTTGCGGGGGGGTTGGCGATTAACCACTAGCCGGCCAGGCTAATGAGCTCGTCAATCACCGACGTGTGGAGTAGATTGAGGTCGCATCGTCCGAGCTGCATGCGACCCCCAAACACCCTCCGGAGTCATGGAGACCTTTCATGAATATGATGGGGACGCAGGTCACATGGCGATTTTCCGTGGAAATCAGGCAGGAATTCTGCGAGCGGCACACGTCTCTGGAAGGGAGTCACCTGATACTCTTCACGCTGCTTGGCCCAGAGAAAGGAGACGCCCCCCCCATCGGAAACATGCAACACAATCCATGTCATGCAGTTGTTAAACGTCAGATTTTACAGCCCCATTAAGCACTTCCTGTGTGGGTCACATGTGCTCAACAAGTCATGGCCATGAAGTGACCCCCCCGCATCGCAGACAGATTGGAAATTTATAACCATACTTGTGATTACTATTACCCCCTAGTCTAAAACACGATACCCCTAATTGCCCTAATACCCTCTGTGTGACCTGTTTTCACACAATGCCCCCTAATTGTCCTGATACCCCCCATGTGACCTGTTCCCATTCCGCTGGGAGCCACAGGGGCACACCCAGTTCCAAAGAGCAGGCATCACTCCCAGAATGCACTTCTGCGTGAGGTCAGAAGGGCGGAGTCAGGGCCATGCTTGAGGGACGCAGAGGCGATTACAGGCCATGCATGCTGACACAGTGAGTGCTCATTAAGCAGGTCGGCCTCCTTAACGCGATTAGAGACGGGGGCACAGATGTCTTCATCAGGCATTCATGTGGGGCTCTTTGCGATCCTCCAAACACACTCAGCCCTCTGCGAGAAGTTCAGGGCCGTGCAGATCGTCCTGCTGTCCCACAACCAGCTCCAAAAGCCAGCCAGGGTGGGGGCGTCATGATCCATTATTCCAGCTGATGGCTTTGATTAAAAGCCCGGGTTGTTTTTTTCCTCAGCAGTAACTGAGCACCACTGCACACTGGTGTTAAACGTCATCTGTCTGGCCCTGTGGTCGCTTAACAAACAGCCTGAAAGTCACACCAGCTTTCCGCAAAAAGAGGTGATAGAATTACTAAAAAAGCAAAAAAAAAATGTCAAAAATTCACTATGTATAAAATCCTCAGTGAAAAAGGACACGTGTAAAAGGATTAAAGACAAAGTGTGATCTATTTCCACCACGTCAGTCATTAATAACTGAAACTCCCACAGCAGTTTGTGAAGGTAAACAGGGCAAAGCAAACGACGAGAAGCTTAATCAGAGGAGCCCAGCGAGGGCTCAGTCGATGGTGCCGTAATCCCCGACGTCATCTGTGCCTTTTGTGCATTTCAATGCCCTGCAGGACACCCCCCAGCGCTAATCTCCAAAAAGCCTGCATCTGATAAGGCTTCTCCTCTTGGCAGAACATCTGCCAGGGGTGGGATTACACAGGGGGAACATTCCGGTACGGGAATGCTGCAAAGAAGTGTCTGTGTCTCTTCATTGTCGAATAAGACCTCAAAAACCGTTTTACTTATTCAGACACTTTTAGTGGTGTACATTTTGGTGAAGGCAGGGTCAGACAGTCCCTGGACTGTCTTGCTCAGAGGCCCAGAGGAGACATTACTCTGCTGCCCCTGGGTTTACAACTGGCGACATTCCGATCAGCATCCAAACCCAGCTAGCCACTCAGAGCCAGGTCTCACTGCAGGCAACAGTGACCCTTCACACCCAGATCTAAGGAGCTCAGCATCATAAATGGCTGCTTGTGTCTCTGCACAAAGGTTCACTTTCTTACCGTTCAGCCAGCGGGAATCGTGCTGCTCCGTCCGGATAGGGTGGTGCAGTCCCAGCGTGCGGAACACAGCGAAGTCCCGTCCCATGAAGTCCGCCGACGTTCCCGAGTACAGCTCTCCATCTGTAAAACATGGAAAAAACATTAGCAGCTGGGAAGGTTCCGTGAGGCCGGTGTCATTTGTCCTTTCATGGAGAGACGGTGACCTTTCATGAAGAGAGACACGAAAGGTGAGCTTTTACGATAGAGATCTGGAAGGCCGTTAGGGCCACTGGAAGGCCGTTAGGGGCACTGGAAGGCCGTTAGGGCCACTGGAAGGCCGTTAGGGGCACTTGAAGGCCGTTAGGGGCACTGCATTGTACAAACCAGTGTGACATTTCCTTTTCAGGGAGTGGTAGGGGATGGGGCCAAATGGCAGTGAAGGGCAGATGAGAGGGGTGAGAAATGTGACAGGAAGTGAGGTGGGAAATGACAGTGTCAAAGGAAGAGTCGATAAAAGCAACAGAGAAGCTTCCAGAAAGTCCAGGAAAAAGATGGCAATTTAGACAAAGGGCAGGTGTGTGTGTGTGTGTGTGTCGTGTATATATTATATTTTGGGGACCAAATGTCTCCACAATGTGGTAAAAACCTGGACAGGGGTTAAGGATGTCATTGTTGGGATTAGAGTCTTTCCTATAGAAATGAATGGAGAGTCACATAAAAATATGAACACAAATGTGTGTGGGTGTGTGACAGAATGTAAGCCATGTATAGCAGGTCACAGCGCAGATAAAGACTCCTGGTTAGATATGTGCCACCCCCCCCGCGCCAGGTTTACACTCCATAACACGACACCAGCCATTTAGCATGGGAGGCGGTCAGCTAAGTGGAATAACACAGCAGCAGATAAGCGGGGTCTTCAGATGGGTCCTACCCATTCATACAAAGACGGTGAGATCTGTGAGGGGGGGGGGGCAGTTGGTTCGTCTCTGGCTTTCAGAAGCTTTTACTTTAATTACTTTCCTGCTGGAGCACAAGGCCAGCAGGCGGGGGCCAGACGTGTCCGTCTGACGCACTGAAGGAGAATTGCTCCGACCTGCTGGCAGCGCACTGAAGCCGCTCTCGGCGAGGGGGTGTGATCTAATCAGCGGGCCCCTTCAGCCGGGCGCAGACGGGCCCCTTCAGCCGGATCGGGCTGCGTCTCCCGCCCCAGACGGACGGCACCTCGCTCTCTCTCTCCCCTTCTCTCTCTCTGCGTGCAGCAGGACGTTGGCACTAGCCATGATAGAGCCTAGTGGCCTAGATCTGGACACACGCAGACCGTCTTCCACATGGAATATTTCAGACAGTTTGATTTGCATTAAAGCATGTCAGCGTTTTAACACACGACTGTAACGACTGTAAAAATCTTTAATCCCGGAGTATAACAGACTAGGAAGCACAAGAAAATGACAGTTACAGTTACTTATGACCAGAAGGGGTTGTCTGGAATTAGTTTTTTTTGGGGGGGTGACTTTGAAATCAGTCGAATATCAGGCAGCTGCTCTTCCCCTTTCCAGTGAGACGTTTATATTACAACTGACAGCTACTAACATTTTGTGCATCGCGTCGCGTGATGCTCGAGAAAGGACTCTAATGTCACGCAAACCTAACGGGGGAGGGGCCCCAGCCTGCCATGTGACTCCCTGCAGTACAGCTCCAGGAGACCCGCCGCTGCAAACACTCACCAACCAGCAGGGAAGCGGTCAGCATCTTCGGGTCGTACGGACTCTTTCCGCGGCCGTTCTCAAAGCGGCTCGTCTCCAGCCGGAACATGTTGTCCTGGGAGAGACAGCAGAAGCCCAAAGTGTGTTTCTCTCTCTGACAGGCATCAGAGTGAATAAAGAGATACAGTATGGATTGCCCTACAAACAAACTGCGCTCCAAGGCTATGTCTGGCCACATAATTGTCTAGAAAATACATCATTACAACTTGTGTGATTTTTCTTTAAGCGATTCTTCAAGATCTGGCCTTAATGGAATGGAACCTCAGAGACAGTCATTCATCTCCAGATGAATTATTGACATTTTGTGACATTTTTATCTATTCAGAATGATGAAGTGACAGAGCCATGGACAATGAAGCATGGAAACCAACCTCCTGCTTCATCTGAAAAGCAGAATCACTGAAGGAGCGATAACTGAATTGTTTAATGAAAGACAACAGACAAGCTTGACCAATCACTGCAAACTATAATTGCATTAAAAAAAAACCATACTGACTCACAGCACACAGCATTTTCCCATTAATTCAGTATCACGCTCCAAGCAGACAGAAGCTGATATATTCTTTCAAACTTACTATAATTAACATGTCGTGTGAATGTTAGGGTCTGATTCTACTTCAGTATACTGTAACTATACAGGTTGTTATAGTATAGAGACAAGCACAGACAGGAAACGTAACCTAGGCTACTGACCCCCCCTGACTGGTTAGAAAACACTGGAAAAAAATTAAAGGAGTAACTGAAATATGGGACAAGTGTTTTTGTACGCTTAACTTGGTTCAGCAAAATGCCAGGCAGAGCACGACTGGATCTCAATCAGCTATCATCCATTAAGCTTCTAACTGCTGTAACATAGACACACAGACATAGACACAGACAGGCAGACAGACAGACAGACACACACACATACAGACATAGACACAGACACACACACACACAGACACAGACACAGAAAAAGACACAGACATTGACACAGACAGACAGACACACACACACATAGACACACACAGACATAGACATAGACACACGCAGACATAGACACAGAAAGAGACACACGCATACACATAGGCATAGACACAGATGGACGGACAGACAGACGCACACACACACACAGACATAGACACAGACAGACACACACACACAGACATAGACAAAGACACAGACATAGACACAGACAGACAAAGACACAGACATTGACACAGACAGACAGACAGACAGACACAAACACAGACAGACGTAGACACAGACAGATTGACACACGCATACACATAGGCACAGAAGGACATAGACACAGATAGACAGACACACACAGACATAGACACAGACAGACAGACATACGCATAGACACAGACGGACATAGACACAGACAGACAGATAGACAGACAGACGCACAGACACACAGACACACACCCACACAATGTTATTGTTCCTTAAAGGGGGGGCTTACCTCGGGCCGTTTGCCCACCTCCAGGTATGCGCAGATGGGGTGAAAGGCGCCCGTCCCGCACGCGTACAGGTGAGTCTGGTTAAACGCCTGGAGCACTTTGATAAAGTTGGCACACTCTTTCTGTACAGGAACAGGAAGGGTTCAGACATTACCACGGTCACTCGCTTGCTCCAATAAGCATTCTACAGGTCTACGTCTTTCGCTGTCACTTTCTGAATGAATAATCGCTCAAAAATCGAAGAGCTAATTATAATTTTAAAAAATCACACTTCAAATAAAACACTTTCAGATGTCTTAAACTTAATCACCTTCAGTGCAATCGTATACCATATAAGATATATGTTTGTTATGTTTAAAAGAATTGGTTTGTTTTTGTTTTGTTGGGCATATTCAGCAAGTGCACATATTTCCAAAGCTGTGGATTGCTGATAGCCGGTAGGTGATTGTCTCTCACCCGCCTCACTGTCGTATTTATGTTTTCCGGGTCAAACAGAGCGACTGATAACTGCCCTTCATCACATTGGCTTTTCCTGGCACGTCAGGGAGATAAACAGGCTCCATCTGTGTAAACATGGGTTCGAGGCCCTGGCTGGCCTCATTGCGATGTACTGACCCACTCAGAGATACGGAAACACTGCAGAAGTAGCAGCGCCATCGCTGTCATGACCAGGGAATCACAGCGGCACGTGGATATTGCTCAGGACGGACACATGAGCTCTGTGCATCACACCATGACAGGCGACATGCCGCCTTCTTTTACAGCCAATTGGGTGAAACGTTCCCATCGTTCCAGGTCAGCGGCTACCAGTGTGGGGATCAGCTGACATTTACCACACTGGCAGCGATGCAGACGCCTCAGCGGCGCTCCAGACAAGCCCCTTTGAAAGCTAACAAACCTTGACATTTCACAAGCTCTGTCGCATGACGTGGGGCTCTGTGCCGCCGCGGGCGATTTTGGGAGTTGGGTCTATAAGGCGTGGCATTCCTGTTTGATTATACCTTAATCCCCCATCTTTCATTCTCTCAAAGACATGCGGCATGTTCCCATGCAGTACACTGAGATGTTGCATTTTCAAACTCAGACCCAGCATTGCAGGATTTCAGCGACAGAGCCCAGAATGGCAGGAAATGTACCGGCTATGATGTAACGCGGCTTAAATGAGTCCCCAAGGAGAGACATACAGGCAGCAGGAAAGGGTGCTTTTTGGCAGGGAGACTGGGAGAATCTCACTACAGCAAATGATAGCATTGAGCTGAACCCAACATGCACAGGTTAGGGTTAAATCTGAGTTGGATAACTTAGTCTTGAAGTTGTCCTCTAAATGCACATCGTGTTGTTAAACATTATTTAACTAAAAAGGAGATCTTAATCGCAACAAAAGTCCTCATCTGACTCTGGGGTGTTACGCTTCAGTGCTTTCAGGTAAAGAACTCTGCTCTGTACCAAAGACTGGAAAAACTTTCTTAAGACATAAAACAAGAGGTGAATGAATTCCCGGCCTGTACGCTGTAGTGCGAGCTGTGAGCAGCCTTTGTCAGGCCTGACATGGACATCTGCCCCCAGTGGAACCAGGGCCCGACATGTCTGAATGGATCCAGTTCTCTTTGGCTGCTGTGAGCTCTGCTGTCTTTAGGACTCTTGTTTAAGGCACACCGAACACGGTGGACCTCTCACACATAAATAAACGTAGCAGATGTTTCAAAAACCACCAGGGTCACTGAAAGTGATTGTCCTTGAAGGAGACATTTGGAAAGTTACAGCTTGTTTACAATCCTGAGCCAAATCGAGTTATTTTTTCTTTGCATCTGTCTGAATTAATGATGCTGTTGGATAATGTATCACTGCCACGGCACCAACAGCACACCGTCCGCTGGAGTACGATGGGGGTTCTGATGGCCCTAACCACCCAGAGCCAGCCTGCCCCTTGGGAAACGTCACCCCACACCCCACATACCGTGAAATCTTTCCCCGCCCACTTGCACTCGTCTCGCCTGGATGGAGTTGCGGGCCACGATATCTGTGGAGGGAGAGAAACACACTGTCACATACATAAAATAATGCAATAATGTGGGATGGGGGTCGGGCTGGGGGTGCGAATGGGGCTGGTGAAACGCGCCGGAGAGCCATTCAGAATCCGGCACAATGCTCCAAGGTGGCTGAAACCTTCTAGAAGCTTCTGTAGCCCGCCTTTCACCCATTGCATGGCCATAGATCGACCACAGATATTTAATATCCCTCAAACCACTTTGTGTGGGCCCCTGAGGTTTGGAGACCACTGTTGGCCACAAACAGTCAATGCAGTAAATATTAAATAAATAGGTTCTTATTCATGAGATGCTGAAGCAATCTACTAAGCAGTCTCTACGAAGTGGTCTGTACTGAGCAATCTGTACCAAGCAGTCTACACCAAGCAGTCAGTACCAAGCAGACTTTACTAAGCGGTCAGTACCAAACAGTCTGTACCAAGCAGTCCGTACTAAACGGTCCATACCGAGCAATCTGTGCCAAGCAGTCTATACCAAGTGGTCAGTACCTAGCAGTCTGTACCCAGCAGTCTGTACCAAGCAGCCTGTACCAAGCGGTGTGTAGCAAGAGGGGAATCGCAGCTAGCCTCCTCAGGCTCCCCCCTGGTAGTGGGATAACCCTCTGACACTTCAATGCTGATAAGTCAGTCACCAAAACAGACCCCTGATTGAGGGAAACATCTCAGTACCTCCTCCCCAGCTTCATCACCACCTTTTAGCCCGGGATGGGAACCCGAGAGTTTTGAGCTCAGTCCCGGTCAGGTAGTCAAGAACTGCACCCTGGCCTGCAAACGAGACTCCCATGAAGCAAACAGGGCTGGGGGGGGGCAGCCAAGCCAGTCCTCATGCCATGCAACCAAATGTGAGAATCTATGTGAGGTCAAGTGGGAGGTTATGAGATGAGACAGGGGGGTCTGGAGGGGTCAGAAATCAGCCAAATATGTATACCTTTATAATGGCTGGAACTGCAGTTGGAGGGGTCCAAACATTAACGAGGCCCCAGCAGCGATGCCAGCATGGCCCTTATTCCAAGTTAGACCTGTCATGTGCGGTTCCGCCTGCCTTTCTTTGTATGCGCAGACTCCACTTACTATGCTCTGTATATTTATCAGGCCCTTTATCCACAGAGATGTACACTTTGGAGAAAGCCGGGTCAGAAGGTCCCTGCAGTAATCAGGGCTGGGCCTCGCTAAGGAGCCCAAGGGTGACATCATTCTCCAGACCCTGGGATTTAACCCGACAGCCTTCTGGTGAAAGGCTCCCCTGCGCTCTCCAGTGTCGACCTGTAGCCTAACACCCTGCATGAGGTCTGAACCTGAAGTCACTCATCAGGCACCTCACTCTACTTGAGTTTGACGTTCACTCTCCATCGCGGAGCGCAGTACTGATGTTGCACATATGCTTTGACATTTCTGCAATGCGCACTTTAAATGCTCATTGGGCAGCTTGTTTTTCTATTCCTTGCATTTCTCTTCGTGACAAGCCCGATATTCAGAGGAGAGGCGACTTTGTGCCCTGTCTTTTCCAATATGTCCTCTCCATGCTCAATGTCTAAGGCTGGTGAATATGGCCTTGCAGTGACTGATTGGGTCAGGAAGCAGGGTAAATCGCTGAGGAAACACACAGAAACATGCTTACGTGTCTACAGGCACCTCCCTGTCACCTTAAAGCAGGCAGCGCCTGGTGATTTTATGGATTTATGCGATGTTTTAAGCTGCATAATGGAAACATAATGGAACTGTAATATATGCCAAAAATTTACCTGACATTTTCCTCATATTGCCTCAGTACCATCAAAAGGACAGGTGACACGAGCACCTCCACAAGTTTGCCAAGTTTACAGTGTGTCACCTATCTGAGAGCATCCAGAGGCTGTCACAGCAGCAGGCGGCTCCAGGCTGAGCCCCCAATCAGGAATCTAACTCACATCAGGAGAAATCACCAAAAACTGGACTGCTGACAACTGACTGCATACATCAGCACGCCACAGGTCAGTCTCACTGCTCACCACACCTCTGCAAGCGCTTTATTCCCATGCCGACTCCCAACACCCCCACGCCACACCCAGCTTTACCGTCAGCAAGTCCTTGTTGATGTTCACGAGGCTGAAGGAGAAGATGTGGTCCTTGGCCCCCACTAGCAGGCGGCCACGCTCTTCGTCCAGCAGGAAGGTGTGGTAGCTCGAGCTGTTCGGAAACCCAGTGAAGGTGATCACGTTGTTGGAGTCCATCATCTCTGTGCAAGGAGATGGAACAGAGAACTCGGGGTAAGTATGGGAGGAGAGAGAGAGAGAGAGAGAGAGAGAAAGTGAGAGAGAGGGAGGGAGGAAAGGTTCAGAGGGTATCACAGAGAAGCAAAGGCCAGGACACAGGTACGGTACCAAAACGGGGGCTCTTCTGTCTCGCAGGGGAAGCCAGGAAGCCTGAATGTGAGTAAGTGCAGCGATTGGTGCCACTCGGCAGGAAGCCACCAATCACAGAGCGCAGGCAGCGTTTGGGCCGGAAGAACAACTAAGCAACCGGAAGGTGGAGAAGCGCTTTTCAGGGTCATATTCCAATGTGTTACCTGGATTCGAGCATCACATGTGAAAGTATTTAAACAGCAACATCTGTGAGCATTTAAGGAGTATGAGCAGAATTCATCAGCTGTCCTCTTGTTTGACTTTAAAGTTGACAGAAACGTGTGCGTTTTTTTTCTACCGTTCCTGGAAAATGAAAGTACCATAAATGATCTTGCTTGTAATTTATCCGTCATGCTGGTGTGATGTGAGCTAAGCAGACATTTTGCTCGAGCGATTGTGTGATCCACCCTTGAGGACTGGAAGAATGTGAGATATCTGTTTTTGTCATTTTATGTAGTCACGGTGTGAAGAGATGCACACGCCTTGTCAGCGGGATTGTGAAGAGCTGAAACAGGACAGGCAGGAGGATGAGAGAGCAGTGTGAGCGGCGGAGTAGAGAGACTGACAAAGAGATACTGACAGAGAGAGAGACAGACAGATAGACATACAGGCACAGACAGACAGGCAGACATAGACAGACAGATGCAGAAAGAGACAGATAAAGAGACTCAAGAGAGACAGACATACGGGCCAAGCTGGCCCTGGGACAGCAGGTTCCCACGTTTGGTCCCTTCCCGTCTGATTGCCCGCTCCGCTGATAGCCCCGAGAAAAGCCGCACACGTCGGATAGAGCCCTCCTTAACCTGCCCTGTTCAGCTTCTCGTGGGGGCATCAGGGAATGAGCTGATCATATCTGCTTCAGCTTCAGAGAGCCCTGCCTGGACACCTGGACCAGCTCTTCATTTAGGACGTAGGAGAACAAAAACACTGCATGCTACCGGAACATTTGGTGCATGTGAAAGACTCCCGCGGCCATTTGCACAAGCACTTTGGTTTGTTGTTGCTCCTCTGCCTCCCACAGAGACAGACAGAGGTCACGTCCTTGAGCCACATGGTGCCTCGTTTACTCTCTGCCTGGATCCACCACTCCGAGCCACGAAGAAGCTTCATTATAGACCTAAGGGTGAAATGTTAATCCTCTCTGTGAGCCGCCAAACCAAGCGACTAATTACTGCAAGTCCAAATCCAAGTACTTCTGTTGATTTATACTTTATTTGCTAACTCTTTGTCTTTATGCATGGGAGTTAAATGCCCCGAAAGGGAACACCCCCCCCCCCACAAAAATGGAAACAGTCATGACAAAAACATGATTATTGCAGCTTACTGAAGAATTTTTAATAAGCTTCAGTAATGAACCAGCTGACTTTTGCTCCCGCAAGTGGGCGGACATATGTGTGCACAATGATTGGTGACAGATGGCAAAAAATCCATCATCCAGATGTATGTGTCAAAAATGCTGTCCCTCATATTTATGAAGAAACTTCCAGAAAAAAAGTTTCCTCATCAGCTTCAGCTGCCATCCCATACCACCATTCTGAAGCTGGTATAATCTCCTCCATCACTGAGCACTTATCAGTTCAAAAGGTATACCGGTTTCCTGTCAAGATTCCTATGGGATGCAAGCCAGAGGGATGCTTCATGAAGCCAAGCTTCAGTTGATATTAGCCCTATTTTATAAGGTTATTCTGAACTGGCCAACATCATGTGATGCAGTCAAATCAGGGCCCACAAGATCAAAATGTCCCGCATGCCTGCAAAATGAAACCATTCTCACCAGTTGATGTAGTTCGTACTGAAATTCATTGTTAAACATAAATAGATTTCTCCCCTTATGCCCCACACAATAGGAAGTGATTTCAAACACATAAGGTGCGTATTTAAGTTCCAGCACCTGCAACATGACAGATTGTCTGGTTCTGCTTAGAAAGGATCACCTCGAGTTTTCAGGTCTCCCTGCTGCATACTGTAGCTGCTGAGAGAGTGAGGGGCTCCGTCACTAATCAATAAGGCAAACATGGCCGACATGCCCTCCATATACAGACAGGTGGAAGGAAGCTACGCTGGCCAATCACCAGGTGAGGAATGAGCTGGACAGGGAGTTACAGGGGGCATGCAGTGGGGGGGATACTGGCTATATTTTAAGCCTCTGATTATTGAAGGAATACAAGGAAATCAAAACAACATGGTGGATTTAGTGTGCTGGGTTAGTAGGGTGATGCCACCTGCCCCGGTGACCTCGGAGGATCCTCTCTCTCCCAGACCTTCCCCACCACATGCCGGGGAATCTCCCTCTCACCACGACTGTGACAAACCCGAGGTGACAGCGGGCTGCCACAGCGCCCCCTACTGCGCAGTGATTAATGCGCAGTCGGTGAAGCGTATCACTTACGGGGGGGTCTCGCTGGAATGTAACAGGAGGCTGGCGGCGCCGCGAGCCTTTCCGTCAGCGACATCCGAACAGCCGGCGGCTTCTCAGCTTCACGCCCCACCACCGCCACTGTCCTGCTCGGGCGTTATTCCACACCAGGGACACGTCCCAAGAAATCGAATCCCCTCCATGCAAGACTCACTCAGGCCCGGACATGATGTGCTCAGGGGTGCCGATTTAATGCACCCGTCAGCACGACAAAGTAAAGGGGGAGAGAAGAAGGAGGGGATAAGCCACCCGCCGTCTGGGCCCCAGGTTCGAGGGGAGGCAGGACGTCCTGCTTTTGCACTTTCACCGGGTCACAGATAGAGCACTAATTGGCTGCGGATGTCCAAAGCTCATTCTTTACGCTGTGGCTGAATGTCGCCCTTGTGAACAAAGGCAAGACGATATTGATTTCCGCTGCTTCATGGGGATTATTCATCGGATGGTGCGGCTTCCCCGACATGCTGCTAGGGGGCAGAGAGGAGCCACCCTCAAAGCCTCGCCCCTGAGCTGCAGCAATGGGGTAGAGAAACCAGAGACAGTATGTGGAGAGAAGGACAGACATGAACCCCTCGCGCTCCTGCACTGCTGGGTTTCCCTGCAATGGCTGGGGACAACAGTGCTTAGTGAAATCCACACCCCTGACATGCTTTGTCCTCCTCAGATTATGTTGTCTTACAATGCAGAGCCTTCGCTTTGCCTCTCCTTCCCAGGAGGTTCATGGCAACTTCACCAGCCTGACCCAGTTTCTCCAGTTTCAAGGTGAAACCCACGTTTCACAGATTCACCTGATTTCCCTGTGACCACCCTGCATCAGGATTAACACTGCATTATCCTATAACACTGCATTATCCTATAACACTGCATTACCCTATAACACTGCATTACCCTATACTGTAACATTGGATTATCCTTCTCTATTCCTGTGTTCAGCAAGTTAGGCCCTCTGTTTCAGGGGCTTTGGCAACTCTGTTACTGTGAACAGGGGGGTTTGCCGGTTTATTTCTATGTTCAGAGGGTTTAGTCACTCTATTCCCGTGTTTCAGGGGGTTTGGCTGCTCTGTTCCCAAGTTCATGGCATTTGGCATGTGTTCCTGTGTTCAGAGGTTTTGGTCACTATTGCTGTGTTCGGGGGGTTTGGCTGAGCTATTCCTGTGTTCAGAGGGTTTGGCTGAGCTGTTCCTGTGTTTAGGGGGTTTGGCTACTCTATTCGCGTTTTCAGGGTGTCTGACCTCTCTGTTCCCATATTCAGGGAAGTTGGCCACTCTATTCCCATGTTCAGGGAAGTTGGCCACTCTATTCCCATGTTCAGGGAAGTTGGCCACTCTATTCCCATGTTCAGGGAAGTTGGCCACTGTATTCCCATCTTCACTGAGTTTGTGTGGCCACTCTATCCCCTAGTACATTTCTATGACTCATCTGATACTCTTCCCAGAGCTTTGACCTTCAGAAGGCACCATGAATCTGACCCCTGCCTTCCACGATCCTTTCCCCCTCGTCACCCCCCGCCCCAACGTGCTCACCATGGATGAGGGAGAACTTCATGGTGACCCTACAATACCTCCTGTACCTCTCAGGAGATGGCCATGGGAATTTCCCATTGAAAGAGGAAACTGCACAAACTGGAAAAGCTGGATCTGGTAGCAGAAGAGCCTGGCTAATGGCTGGGTCCCCTCTGTCTAATCCTATGTCACAAAATGGCCGCAAAGAACCACAGGCGTCGAACTCCTGAGCCAACCAATGCGGTAGCCTCGTCTGAAGGGGACACGCTCCACGCCGATGGCATGACTGTGCTTATCACGCAACAAAAGGCGCAAATGGCCCAGAAAGCGTCCGATTTCCAGCAAGAGCACCAAGGTCCTCACCGAAGGAGAATAAGAATAAGAAAATAACAGCTTTGCAAGAGATTCAGCCGGTTAAATGGAAGCAAACACATCCATCGTCCATAACTGAGCCCAAGAGCAGTAATGCAGCAGGGAAGCAGCTAGCTAAGTCTCACAGGACCTGCGCTGTGTGTTTGTGTCAGAAAGCCTACTGTCAGACTCACAATCAGCTCCCCGTCGGGTCAGAACACCTGAAGTCTGATTGTCACTGTAGTTACTGCTGCTACAGGAGGGTCTTGGGTCTGGCCTGCACCTCCCTCACCATGTGTTCATAAACCAAAGGCGGCAGCCTTGCGCTTAACACCCAGTTGCTCCAGGAACTGACTGATCCTGCATTTTTTACCATCTGGGTAAAAGCATTGGCTAAGTTAGTTTAAATAAGCAAACAAACAAATTAATAAATAATCAATGTGCCTCACATCACTAACAAGAAACACACTAGAAGCAGCTTTCGTACGAAAACAAACCCCAGGAGGGGAAAAGGGCACCCCCCTCCCCCCCCCCTCCCGCCCACCTACACACTCAGCCCCAGACAATT